CCCGCGGTGCGCTCCTTCCACCGCGCCGTCACCGACGAGATCGCCGCCGGCCGGAGAAGCTGGCAGGATGGCTTTGATGACATCAAGGCAAAGTATTTTGGGTCCCCCCAGAGCTCAGCCAGGGGGCCAGCGGAGGCCTGGGGAGAAGGGGAGGAGATCTGCCGCTACATCGACCGCAGCTTCGCCTTCTGGAAGGAGAAGGAAGCCGAGATCTTCAGCTTGGAGGAGTGATGCCCACTGACGGGGAGGGCAGAGGGCTGCGTGGAGCCGCGGTTTGCAATAAACACCTTTTCAGTTGTGTCTGAGCTGAGCAAGGCTTCCCGAGGCGAGGGAGAAAGCGTTTGGGTGAAGGGGGGACTGTCTAGGCACCCTGTCCCCCAACCTCCTCACCTCCCCTTAGATTCCAGTCTTGGCCTCTGGCTCCCTGCAGCGAGGCGGCTGCTGCCTGTTTATTTATGGCTGCTGAGGAGGGAGATAACACCCTATACTTAACACTCAGCAGCCACAGCCAGGGCAGAGAAGGAACATTGCAGGGACCCCTGGCAACCGATGGAGTGGAAAAAAAGGAGAGATGCCCTTTTCCCTGTGCTTACGGTGCACGTCCGGCTGCAGAGGGATGCCTTCCAAAAAGCAGCCAAGCTGCAGGGTGACAGGGATGGGCAACAGCAGGCAGCTCTTCTCGTGCTGTACCTTTAAGAGCAGGGAGCGGTGTCCCAGTGGGGCCTAAAAATAGTGTATCATACCCCTCCCGTCCCGGCTGGATCCCGTGAGGCGCAGTGTTCCTTCCCAGTGCGGGGACCGCGGCCACTTCCCCCGGCGGGCTGGCCGGAGGGCTGCAGAGCGCAGGTGAGAGCCCAGCCCCTGAGCCACCCCCACCCTGGAAAATCGGTGGCAGCTTCAGCAGGGCAGCTCCGACCCTGGGGAGGAGAAATCGCGGCCACCCGTGGGATCAGGAGTGGGGGGGCTCCAGGGAGCACTTCTGCCCCTGCTGGCGCCTGTGAAGGAGACTCTGGGATGGCACGATTGTGCCGGGGAGCAGAGAGGGACAGGGAGGTGTCACTGCCTTTTCCTGACAGGGACGCTCTTGCCACGCTCGGCTCGGGCTTTGTCTGCAGCAAGGCTCTGCGGCCGCCCCCAGCACCATGGTGAGGAACGTGGATGACTTTGACTTCTGCCTGTCTTCACACGCCCAGGGCGTGCTGGAGGGTCTGCAGCGGCTGCGTGCCAACCCCAAGCTGGCAGACGTGACGCTGGTGGCGGGCGGGCGGGAGTTCCCCT